TTTGTGATCATCAAGTCCAGCCTGTGATGGATCCTCACCCTGTCCCCAGCCCAGAGCTGTGAGAGTTGTTCCTTGGACACCTCCAGGGATGGGGGCTCCAAAGGAGCTCCCTGGGCAGCGCATTCTGAGTTTAACAGCAGAGTTTAACAGCTTTTCCATCAGGAAATTCCCTCGGAATTCCAACCCTGTTCTCCAGCTCAGCCTCTTCATTATTTTGAACTTCACTTCAAAAATTCCCAAGTTTTGAAGGATCCCAGGATTGTTTAGGCTGGCAAAGATCTTTGGGATCATTGAGTCCAGCCTGTGATGGATCCTCACCTTGTCCCCAGCCCAGAGCTGTGAGTGTTGATCCTTGGACACCTCCAAAGCTCCCTGGTTATCCCATTCTGATGTTTTACAGCTTTTCCATCAGGAGATTCCCTCTGAATTCCATCCTGGAGCTCCCCTGGCACAGCTTGGGGCAGTTTCCTCCTCTCCTGGCCCTTCACTGGAGCTTGAGGTGCTCTGAGGTCTCTTCCTGAACGCTTCAGGCTCTGCAACTCCACCAAAACCAAACAGATCTTCTAACAAAGGCAAAACAGCAGGAAAAAAGGAACTTTGGGAACATCTGTATTGAGTGGGAGCTGTATCAGAGCAAAGTAGGGGAGGAATTGTCAGGAGAATTTGAAATTTAGGAGTAGGTTTGTGAAAACTTGCAGTGGCAGGAGGCAAAACCTTGGGATTGGGGCAGGCATGAAAACAGGAACTCCTTTTTCATAAAGTTGTAACTTAATCGTCTCATTTTCAAGGCTTTTTGTAAAGAAGGGAAGTTAAACTCTTACCAGAATAAAAGTGGGGTTCTTTTTTTGTTTTCCCTTTCTTTAATCCATGTGGTCAAACAATGGCTTTAACTCTGCTGTAGACAATAAATACATAAATAAAAATAAACCTGAAGTACATGTCCAGCCAAACAGAAGGAGTTCCTTGAGTAACCTGAGCCTGTAAACGTAAATATTTCCCAACTGCTGCTGCCTTTTCCTGGTTGATAACTCTGCAAAACCTTGGGATTGAGGCAGGCATGAAAACAGGAATTTTTCTCGTAAAGTTGTAACTTAATTTTCTCATTTTCAAGGCTTTTTGAAAAGAAGGGAAGTTAAAATTCGAGTTTACTGGAATAGAAGTGGAGTTCTTGTTTTATTTTTATTTTCCCTTTCCATTGAGTAAAGACTTTTACCTGCAGCTTTTCCAGGCAGGTGTTGGAACTCCCTGGAATCAATTTCTCAGATCCATGCGGTCAAACAATGATTTTTCTCTGCTGTAGACAATAAATAGTCACAAATAAATATAAAAATAAACCTGAAGTACATGTCCAGCCAAACAGAAGGAGTTCCTTGAGTAACCTGAGCCTGTAAATGTAAATATTTCCCAACTGCTCCTGCCTTTTCCTGGTTGATAATTCTGGAGGCTCTTCCTGCAAGTTATTGCTGAATTTCAGTTTGAGAAATTGAGGGAATTTAATCAATTTGGTAAATAATAATGATTTTTTAAAAAAATTACATTAAAACCATAGCATGGTTGTGTCTTGTATTCTCAAAATTTCCTTTTGCAGAGGGAAGGAGGTGTCTGGGAAGGATTGAGAGGTGGTAAGGGAGAAGTGAAACTTTTCCTTGTAATTCCCAGTATTTTCTGCTCACAGAAATCGACCTCCTTTTTCCTGTTAGATCAGTTCTGCTCCATAGTTTGGCAAAAGAAAACGCTGAATTGGTTTAAAGCACTTCTCAGGAAATTGCTGCTCGAGAATTTAATCTTGCTGCAGCTCCTCTTCATTCAGCTGCACGCGTAACAAGATTTAGGATTTATGTGTATTTATATCTGGCGGGTTCATTTGTGATTCTGTTATTGTGCTGCAAATTCCAAGGATTACAATTCCTGCTCCTTAATCCTGCTGGGCTGTGGAGAAAACCCTGCTCTGCAAATAATGGGCTTTTTTTTCTAAAAAGTCTGTGTAGAACAAAGCTGCTGATGAAACCACTTTTTCCCTTTGAGCTGTGATTTGAAATATAAATCAGGAGACGTTTTCCCAGTCTGGGGTTTGTTTCATTCCAGAATTGGAAGTGCTAATGTATTCCAATATTCTCTAATTCCGCTCTCACAGGAATATCATTGATTTTACTTTGATATCCAAAGGGATGGTGAGGCTTTGGATGGTGGTGGGTGCCACAGAGATTGGAATAAAACATTGATTAATTCTTGGAGAGTTTTAAGGACAAACCACAAAACCCAAGAGCAGAATGAACCCACGCTGGACAGTGACGTGGATTATCACCACGCACCGGCTTCTCCTGAGACATAAATCCCTTTCCTCTTCATTTTTCCCTCTTTATCCTTCAGGAATGCTCCAGACCAGCTGTATTTCCCTAGCTCTGACAGATTTTCTCTCAGAGCTTCCCAGGAGTGTCGCTCTCATCGACACTCAAACCTGCCATAAACCTCCACGGGAGCACAAGACACCGGTTATTTATTTAGAATTTTTTTATTTTTTTATTATTTCAGGGCGTTTTCTGATGCTTAGGCAAGAAATGACATCTTGGTTGTGACTTCCCTGTGATTACAGCCCTGGAAGCTCCATGGCTGTGTGGGAATTTAAATAACTGGGATAACGTATGGGTGATGTTTTTGCCTGATGTCTGGGTGAAAGGATGAGGAGGATTCCATCTTACCGGAAGGCTAATTAATTACTTTATTATACCATATTATTCTATACTGTGTTACATTACATCTAAACTGAATTGGTCTTGCTTTCTCTGAGGTTCAGAGAATGTGAATCCCAGAAATTTCTTGGGAAGTTGTGCCTTGCTTTTCTCTGTGGAGAGAAATGTGGTGACAATAACGTGAGAGCCAGGAATGAGAGACGCATCCACCTTCATGAGAGAACTGAAATCCACCCCAGGGGGATTTATCCATCAAATTCCCACTGGTTTTAATGCAGATGGGGGACAAAAATATCCCTTGGGAATTTTTTCATGCCCCATGTTCCATCCCGATGATCATTTCCACCAACAGCCAGGAGGTCGCGGTTACGGTTGCAGTGAGACAAAAGCGAAATATTCCACCAAAGTGCTGCTTGCAGCTCTGAATTCTCCTTTTTTAAAATTTTTCTTGCCAGCCCTTTGGATGGAAGATATAAATGTCCCTTGGGAATATTTTCATTGCCCCCATGGTCCCCTGTCTTCCTAAAAGCCCCGAGTTCCATCCAGCCAGAAGGTCGCGGTTACGGTCGCGATGAGACAAAAGCGAAATATTCCACCAAAGTGCTGCTTGCAGCTACTGAATTCTTCTTTTTTATTAAATTTTCCTTGCCAGCCCTTCAGGTGGAGGACATAAATGTCCCTTGGGAATATTTTCATTGTCCCCATGCTCCCCTGTCTTCCTAAAACCCCCAAGTTCCATCCTGATGATCATTTCTCCCAACAGCCAGGAGGTCGCGGTTACGGTCACGATGAGACAAAAGCGAAATATTGCACCAAAGTGCTGCTTGCAGCTCTGAATTGTCCTTTATTTTTAATTTTTCTTGCCAGGCCTTCAGATGGAGGACATAAATATCCCTTGGGAATATTTTCATTTTCCTAAATGAAACCCCCTCTTCCTAAAAGCCCCAAGTTCCATCCAGCCAGAAGGTCGCAGGTTGCAGTTATGGTCGCAATGAGGCAAAAGCAAAATATTCCACCAAAGTGCTGCTTGCAGCTCCTGAATTCTCCTTTTTTAAAATTTTCCTTCCCAGATGGAAGATATAAATGTCCCTTGGGAATATTTTCATTGTCCCCATGGTCCCCTGTCTTCCTAAAAGCCCCGAGTTCCATCCCAATGATAATTTCTCCCAACAGCCAGAAGGTTGCGGTTATGGTCATGATGAGACAAAAGCAAAATATTGCACCAAAGTGCTGCTTGCAGCTCCTGAATTCTCCTTTTTTATTAAATTTTCCTTGCCAGCCCTTCAGGTTCAGGACATAAATGTCCCTTGGGAATATTTTCATTGTCCTCTGTCTTCCTAAAAGCCCTGAGTTCCGACCCAATGACCATTTCCACCAACAGCCACAAGGTCGCAGTCGCGGTTACGGTCGTGATGAGACAAAAGCAAAATATTCCACCAAAGTGCTGCTTGCAGCTCCTGAATTGTTATGTTTTATTTTCCTTGCCAGCCCTTCAGATGGAAGATACAAATGTCCCTTGGGAATATTTTCATTGTCCCCATGGTCCCCTGTCTTCCCAAAAGCCCCGAGTTCCATCCAGCCAGAAGGTTGTGGTGGCGGTTACGGTCGCAATGAGACAAAAGCGAAATATTCCAAAAGTTTATTGACAAAAGTTATTAACAAAGTGCTGCTTGCAGCTCTGAATTCTCCTTTATTTACAATTTTTCTTGCCAGCCCTTCAGATGGAAGATATAAATGTCCCTTGGGAATATTTTCATTGTCCTCTCTCTTCCTAAACCACCGAGTTCCATCCAGCCAGAAGGTCGCAGTTGCGGTTACGGTTGCAATGAGACAAAAGCAAAATATTCCACCAAAGTGCTGCTTGCAGCTCCTGAATTCTCCTTTTTTAAAATTTTCCTTGCCAGATGGAAGATATAAATGTCCCTTGGGAATATTGTCGTTGTCCCCATGGTCCCCTGTCTTCCTAAAAGCGCCGAGTTCCATCCAGCCACAGGGTCGCGGTTGCGGTTACGGTTGCAATGAGACAAAAGTGAAATGTTCCACCAAAGTGCTGCTTGCAGCTCCTGAATTGTTATGTTTTATTTTCCTTGCCAGCCCTTCAGATGGAAGATATAAATATCCCTTGGGATTTTTTTTATTGTCTGCATGGTCCCCTGTCTTCCTAAAACCCTGAGTGCCATCCCAATGATCATTTCCACCAATAGCCAGAAAGTCATGGTTGTGGTCGCGATGAGACAAAAGCGAAATATTCCACCAAAGTTCTTCTTTCAGCTCCTGAATTCTCTCTCTTTTTTTTCTTTTCCTTGCCAGCCCTTCCACCCCATGGTGAACCTGGAGTGCTCGCGGGATTTCCGGCCGTTCCTGTGCGCGCTGTACGCGCCGGTGTGCATGGAGTACGGGCGGGTGACGCTGCCCTGCCGCCGCCTGTGCCAGCGCGCCCACAGCGAGTGCTCCAAGCTCATGGAGATGTTCGGGGTCTCCTGGCCCGAGGATATGGAGTGCACCAGGTGAGAAAAACACTTTTTTTTTTGTTTTTTTTAAATTTCAGGATAAAATTACTCCCATCCAGGAGTTTTACGGCCCATTAAAACCAGGTGTTTGTAACGTTTTCCGTCACACGCGGCGATGTTTTCCTTCCCGTTTGCCAGCGGCCTTTCCTGAGGTGGGAAGTGAGTTCCTATTCCTGCCCAGGAGATCAGCTGAAAACTGGCTGGGTTTGATGAGGGGGAAATCTCAAAGCTGTGAGCAGAGCATGTGCCCCTTGCTGAGCTGCAAACAGCCGTGCTCAGCTTTACACTGCACAAATGAATTTATGGAAAAATGATCCAGCGGTGTTCCAAGCTGTTTGAGACAACATGCATGAAATTAAAAACAGGATCTTCGTGCTTTATTGGTTTTTGTGACTCCAACAGTTAATGAAACTTAGGAGCAGTAACAGGAAGAAATAATTCCAGTTGGATTGGAGAGAATGAAAAACAATTAAAATTATTTTAGTTAAATAAATCAGAGGATGTTTCTGAGTTACTGGGATTGCTCCAATCTCATTGGAAACTCCAACAGTCCCAAACCTCCAGTCAGAGCTTTATTTACACAAATATCTCCATCATTGTTCCATTTATTAATGCTGGTGTCAACTACACAAATAGCTTCATCTCAGAGCATTATTTACACAAATATCTTCATCATCATTCTGTTTACTAATGCTGGTGTCAACTGCTCAAATACCTTCATCATCATTCCATTTATTAATGCTGCTGTCAGCTACACAAATATCTTCATCATATTTCCATTTATGAAAACTGGTGTCAACTACACAAATATCTTCATCATAATTCCATTTATTAATGCTGGTGTCAACTACACAAATATCTTCATCATAATTCCATCTATTAAAACTGGTGGCAGTGCTAGTTGGAATTTTGGTGTCACCACCTCACTGCCCTGTCTGATGTGCAGCTGCTTAGGAAAGGCTTTAAAATGTTTTTAAAATCCTGCTGCCGTGGGCTTGAACTCACAGATTTCCTGGGATGGATTTTGCATCCTTACCTTCATGGTTAAAGTTCAAATTGGCTCCTCACCTGTTTTATTTTTAAACTTATTTTATAGTTTAACGTTGCTCTGTGGAATGAGTTTGTGACTAAGTAGTGCAAAATTTGGTGGATTCCCCATTTTTTGGATTGTCTGGTTTTGCTGCAGTCGGTTTGCCTGAAGTCACACCTAGAAACCCTGGTTCTGGTACCAGGAATGGTGCGGCCAGCAGGAGCAGGGGGATCATCCTTGCCCTGTGCACCTGGAGCGCTGTGTCCAGTTCTGGCACCTCAGTTTGGGAAGGACCTTGAGGACCTGGAGCGTGTCCAGAGGGGACAACGAGGCTGGAGAGGGGCTGGGAACACAAACCCTGAGAGGAACCCTGAGGGAGCTGGGGGTGCTGAGCCTGGAGAAAAGGAGACTCAGGGGTGCCCCCATCGCTCTGCACAGCTCCTGAAAGGCGCCTGTGCTCAGCTGGGGCTGGGCTCTGTCTCCAGGAACCGACAGAACCAGAGGAGAGTCTCAATCTGCACCATGGGAAATACAGGTTGGATATTGGGAAAAAGTTTTTTACTGCAACAATGATGAAGTTCTGGAATGTTCTGCCCGGGGAGGTGGTGGAGTCACCATCCCTGGGTGTGTTTAACAAGGCCTGGATGTGGCACTGGCTGCCAGGGTTTAGTTGAGCTCTGAGGACATGGGTTGGACTCAGTGATCTTTAAGGTCTCTTCCAACCCAGTGATTCTGTGAATTCTGTCTGCAATGAGGTTCCCAGTCCTTGTAAACTCTGAGTAGACTCCTTGCAAACTCCTCTTTTCAGGTTCCCGGACTGCGACGAGCCCTACCCTCGCCTGGTCGACCTCAACCTGGCGGGCGAGCCCACGGAGGAGGCGCCGATGGCCGTGCAGAGGGATTACGGCTTCTGGTGTCCCCGGGAGCTGAAAATCGACCCCGAGCTGGGCTACTCCTTCCTCAGGGTGCGGGACTGCTCCCCTCCCTGCCCCAACATGTACTTCCGCCGCGAGGAGCTCTCCTTCGCCCGCTACTTCATCGGCGTCATCTCCATCGTCTGCCTCTCGGCCACCCTGTTCACCTTCCTCACCTTCCTCATCGACGTCACGCGCTTCCGCTACCCGGAGCGCCCCATCATCTTCTACGCCGTCTGCTACATGATGGTGTCCCTCATCTTCTTCATCGGCTTCCTGCTGGAGGACCGCGTGGCCTGCAACGCCTCCAGCCCCTCGCAGTACAAGGCCTCCACGGTGACGCAGGGCTCGCACAACAAGGCCTGCACCATGCTCTTCATGGTGCTCTACTTCTTCACCATGGCCGGCAGCGTCTGGTGGGTCATCCTCACCATCACCTGGTTCCTGGCCGCCGTGCCCAAGTGGGGCAGCGAGGCCATCGAGAAGAAGGCGCTGCTGTTCCACGCCAGCGCCTGGGGCATCCCGGGCACGCTCACCGTCGTCCTGCTGGCCATGAACAAGATCGAGGGCGACAACATCAGCGGCGTGTGCTTCGTGGGGCTCTACGACGTGGACGCGCTGCGCTACTTCGTGCTGGCGCCCCTGTGCCTCTACGTGGTGGTGGGGGTGTCCCTGCTGCTGGCCGGGATCATCTCCCTCAACCGCGTGCGCATCGAGATCCCGCTGGAGAAGGAGAACCAGGACAAGCTGGTCAAGTTCATGATCCGCATCGGCGTCTTCAGCGTGCTCTACCTCGTGCCCCTGCTGGTGGTCATCGGCTGCTACTTCTACGAGCAGGCCTACCGGGGCGTGTGGGAGACCACGTGGATCCAGGAGCGCTGCCGCGAGTACCACATCCCCTGTCCCTTCCAGGTGAGCAGCGCCGCCCAGATCAGCGGCCATCCTTCCCTTCTGCCATCCTTTTGTGGCTTTCCGCCATCTTTTTGGGTTTTCTGTTGTCCTTTTTTGGCTTTCCGCCATATTTTTTGGCTTTCTGTCCTCCTCTTTTAGCTTCCCATCCTTTTATGGCTTCCTGTCACCCTATTTTGGTTTTCCGGCATCGTTTTTGGTTTTCCGTTGTCTTTTTTTGGTTTTCCACCATCTTTTTTGGTTTTCCGTTGTCCTTTTTTGGCTTTCTGTCGTTCTTTTTTGGCTTTCCGCCATCTTTTTTGGTTTTCTGTCATCGTTTTTTAGCTTTCCGTCCTTTTTTGGTTTTCCTCCACCGTTTTTGGTTTTCTGTTGTCCTTTTTTGGTTTTCCACCATCTTTTTTGGTTTTCCGTCATTCTTTTTTGGTTTTCTGCCATCTTTTTTGGTTTTCTGTTGTCCTTTCTTGCATTTTCACACCTGAAATGTGTCCTGAGAACAAAGAGAAGGTACAAGAGTTGGGTTTGCTTGGGGGAAAATGGATTCTTGGTGCGCTCCCCCTCTGGAAGGGATGGAGGTGGTGGGCACGATGATGATGGTGGTGGGCACGATGATGGTGGTGAGCACAGTGATGGTGGATCTGGAGCAGTGGAATCACTTGGAATGTGAGCCATGAGCTGATTCCAGAGGCCTTCTGGGGCTCTTTCCACTCGAAGGAGATGCTGGTGGACATGGTGTCCATGGCCATGCAAAGGTGTCCTGAGAACAAAGAGAATGTAGAAGAGTTGAGTTTGCTTGGGGGAAAATTAATTCTTTGTGCGCTCCCCCTCTGGAAGGGATGGAGGTGGTGGGCACGATGATGATGGTGGTGTCCATGATGATGGTGGATCTGGAGCAGTGGAATCATTTGGAATGCGATCCATGGGTTGAGACCTTTTGGGTCTCTTTCCACACAAAGCAGATGCTGTGAGACCTGCAAAGTATCCTGTGAACAAAGAGAAGGTAGAAAATTTGGGTTTGCTTGGGGGGAAAATGGATGCTTTGTGCGCTCCCCCTCTGGAAGGGATGGAGGTGGTGGGCACGATGATGATGATGGTGGGCACGATGATGATGATGGTGGATGTGGAGCAGTGGAATGCGAGCCATGGGTTGAGACCTTTTGGGTCTTTTTCGCTCAAAGCAGATGCCTCAAAGGTGTCCTGAGAACAAAGAGAATGTAGAAAATTTGGATTCATTTGGGGAAAAAATGGATTTTTTTGTGCACTCCTCCTCTGGAAGGGATGAAGATGGTGGGTTGGTGGATTTGGAGCAGGGGGATCACTTGGAACGTGAGCCATGGGCTGATTCCAGAGCCCTTTTGGGGCTCTTTGCACTCAAAGCAGATGTTGAGAGCGGAGTTTTCCCTCCTCTGGCTGGGGTTGTGTTTGTCACAGGTCCGAGTGCTGCTCATCCAAAGGTGTTGTGTGAGATTATCGGTGTGGAAACTGGAGCAGGTGGAAGTGGAGAGTTCCTCACTGAGTTCCTCACTGAGTTCCTCACTGAGTTCCCCGTTGAGCTCCTCACTCAAAGCTCTGCTGTTCCTATTAAAAATTAAAAAAAGTTGTTGCCATACTGAAATTGGAAGCTGAAGCAGATGGGAGTGGAGAGTTCCTCACTGAGTTCCTCGTTGAGCTCCTCACTCAAAGCTCTGCTATTAAAAATTTAAAAAAATGTTGTTGCCACATTCAAATTACTGGGATAATTCCTTATTGGGTGCTGCTGGGAAATCAGAATTTCCATCAACTCTTGGTGATTTTCCCGGAGTTTTTGGGTTGTGTGGCTCCTACTGAAGATGTAAAGATGTTTTTTTAAACCAACATCAAGACCAGGGTTTGATGAGTTTATTTTTGGTCATTGGAAGTTTTTCTAGGAAAGAATTTTGGAGTTTGAACCGATTTTTGTCATTTTTGTTCATCTGTAGCAGTTTTGGGGGTTTTTGATGGCCTGGAGGTTTTCCATCTCCTCCGTCCGTATAAAATCTGATTTAAAGCATCTCCTGAAGGAAACCAGAGCCTGCAGCCCATCAGCTTTGGGGTTTGTTTTCAAGAAACTGAGGTTGATCTGCTGGGTTTGATTGAGTTCTCACAGGAACAGAAGCCTCTGAGAGCCCTGACACCAAACTCGGCACTGCTTTATTCAGAAAATAAAATATTTTAGGGAGTAATTGCCTGATTTTGGGTCAGATTTGTTTGGAATGACATTCCTTAGATATTTTCTGCCAATTATTTTAAATAATTAAATTTAAAGGAATATTAAATTTAATCATTTAAAAATAATTTGCAGAAAATACAAAAATAAATAAATAAATAAATAAATAATTTTTAAAAATAAAATAAATAAAATAAATTTAAAGGAACTTTATTTCCAGAGGCTTTTACGGCAAATTTCTATTTTCCAGCTGCACGCAGAGGGATATTTAAAAATCACCATTTCGGCTCTGAAGCAGTTAAAACAGCAGCTGAGTCATCACAGCTCACATTTTAATGCCATAAAATATCACTTAAAGGCTTGAGAATAATCCTTTTATTGCCTTTTAACCCTTTCTGGGTTTTTATTGGTTTTTTTCTGTTAGGTTTTATTAAGGTGGGGCTCTTCCATCCAATTTTATGGCAGGAAATCTGCGGGTGTTTGCAATTTTATTTGTTCGATTAATTCTTCACTGCTGTGGATTTAATCTTAAATGCTTAAAAACAGAGAGAAAAAAGGAAAAAGAAAGGGAAAAGGAAAAGGAAAAGGAAATTTCAGGAAAGGAAAGGAAAGGAAAGGAAAGGAAAGGAAAGGAAAGGAAAGGAAAGGAAAGGAAAGGAAAGGAAAGGAAAGGAAAGGAAATTTCAGGAAAGGAAAGGAAAGGAAAGGAAAGGAAAGGAAAGGAAATTTCATGGAAATTTCAAGGAAAGGAAAGGAAAGGAAAGGAAAGGAAAGGAAAAGAAAAGAAAAGAAAAGAAAAGAAAAGAAAAGAAAAGAAAAGAAAAGAAAAGAAAAGAAAAGAAAAGAAAAGAAAAAGAAATAAAAAAGGGGGACACGCGGCTTTGTCTTGATTAATTTCCAACACCCACCGTGCGTCAATTGAAATTTAAATTTAAATATTGAAATCATTAAAATGTAAACATCTATAAAATCATCAGGGTTTCGAGGAGGCAAAATTCCCGGCAAAAACTTGAAACTGAGGGCTGGAATAATAAAATAAGATAAAATAAAATAAGATAAGATAAGATAAAATAAAATAAAATAAAATATAAAATAAAATAAAATAAATAAAATATAAAATAAGATAAAATAAAATAAAATAAAAAATAAAATATAAAATAAAATAAAATAAGATAAAATAAAATAAAATAAAATAAAATAAATAAGATAAAATAAAATATAAAATAAAATAAAATAAAAAAAAATATAAAATAAAATAAGATAAAATAAAATAAAATAAAATAAAATAAAATAAAATAAAATCAAAGCAATAAAACCGTGCAGGGAAGGCTGCTGCAATCCTGCAGCCGCTGCTGCCGTGGCCCAGCAGGAGCCGAAGGAACAATGGAGGTTTTGGAGGTTTTGGAGGTTTTGGAGGTTTTGGAGGTTTTGGAGGTTCCTGGAGGTTTCATTCACTGCAATTGGGCTGAAGGACCTGAGACCCCAGGGAGCATTAAACGGATTTTTTTTCCTTTTAACCCTTCCATTTCTATTTTTTCCCTCAATTTTTTTCCCTTTTAACCCCTCCATTTATATTTTTCCCCTCAAAAAAAGTTGAGGTTTTTTTTTTCCTCTTAACCCCTCCATTTCTATTTTTTTTCCCCTCAAAAAATGTCCCTTTTTTTTTTCCTTTTAACTCCTCCATTTCTATTTTTTTCCCCTCTTCCCATATGAAATAATCCAGATTTACAACTGAACCAGATTCCCAAAGCTGGGAGGGAAATTATTTTATCCTCAGCTCATGGTGGTGAAATTTATCCTTAAATTTGGGAAAAATGGGGAGTTTTGTGGGGAATCGTGGTGAAATGAAAACATATTTTAATGAAGCTTTAATATTAGTTTAATTAATTAAATACATTTTAAAATTAATAAAATAAATAAATCGGAAATTAAATTCAATGATTTTTTAATATTTCTGAGAGCAGAGCATCCTAGATGGAGAGTGGAGTCGATCCCACGGTGGACAAAAGGGTTTTGTGGTCTGGGAATTTTGATTTTTCCCAAAAGCGGCAAATCTGAGCTTAAAAATCCACTGGGGTGGCCGAGATGATGGAGCAGGAACTCCCAATATTCCCAAAAATCAGAAATATTCCCAAAATGAGAAATACTGCCAAGTGGAGAGTTCGGTCAGATGAAAACCAAAAACTCTGTTTGGCTGCCTACAATCAGAAATATTCCCAAAATCAGAAATATTCCCCAAATTAGGAATATTCCCAAGCAGGGAGTTTGGTCAGATAAAAACCAGAAATATTTGGCTGCCTGGAATCAGAAATATTCCCAAAATGAGAAATATTCCCTGGCAAAGAGTTTGACCAGATAAAAAGCAGAAACTCTGTTTATTTGGCTGCTTGAAATCAGAAATATTTCTGAAATTAGAAATATTCCCAAATTAGAAGCATTCCCATAATCAGAAATATTCCCAAAATTAGAAATATTCCCAAGCAGAGGGTTTGGTCAGATAAAAACCAGAAACTGTTTATTTGAGTGCCTGAAATCAGAAATATTTCCGAAATTAGAAATATCCCCAAATCAGAAATATTCCTCAAATTAGGAATATTCCCCAAATTCAAAATATTCCCAAGGGGTGAGTTTGGTCAGATAAGAACCAGAAACTGTTTTTTTGTTTGAGTGCCTGAAATCAGAAATATTCCCAAAATTAGAAATATTCCTAAAATTAGAAATATTCCCCAAATTAGGAATATTCCCTAGCAAAGAGTTTGGTCAGATAAGAACCAGAAACAATGAGAAATATTCCCAAAATTTGAAATATTCCTAAGTGGAG